AATAAATGTCCCCCTGTGCCTGCTTAGTCTATGCACCATAGACCTAAGGTCTATTATTATGCACGAGATATTATTAATTACCTATAAATATGCCATGTTCAATTACATTGTACAGAATATTAGTAAAATAATATAAATACGTCGTACTTGCAAGTTAAAAGTAAATGTATATATAACAGCAACATCTCAATCGATAAAATAAAAAATATGTGTTTGACGCAAACTACCACAATGGCAAGTTTTGGTGGGCGAGACGTCCGTGGCCAAAACCTCTTACATTCGCATGCATGCAACGCTTGAATTAAAACGATATATTGTAAAAAAGAAAAAAAAAAAAGAGACTATTATCTTTCCCGGTATTTAGTATTAGTGCTAAAACACTGAGACGCTCGGATTAAAACGATGCATTGCATTAGATGGGAATAAACGATTTATTGTGATGTATAGTATATTGCGTCAATGTTTTTTTAACATGGGACGCATGAAATAATTAAAAATGATATTTTTAAAAAGACATGAATTGAATTGAAAACATTTTGTCAGCTAATGTTGATGGGGGAGACTCCGTTCACTTTTCATCTACCGTCAGTAGACACAATAGGTGATTTTCCGAACAATTGCGAGATCTCGCGAGATGCATGAAAGACGAGCGTCGAACGTCTGCCGCAAAAATCGAACGATTTGATTTTGAACTAGAATTTCTTTATTTCGCAGCTTACATTGACCGGCCGATCTTCGACAGAGGAATATTGCTTCCGAATACCCTTACTTAATCGAAATTGCCTATCATCAAATGTGGACAGCACATTATTAAGCATGGAATGTTCCCCAAAATACTTCGCGTTTGTCGAATCCCACGCGATGTTTGACGCGACTACGACGCTATGACCTTTGTTTGTCCTGTTTTTACGTTCGATTTCACGCATAACGCGTGATTCTCGCAGTGAACAGAAAATGGTCTATTGCCTACTATGACGGTATTTTAGACATTGTTATCACTTTCGATTAGCTTTAATGTCTTGCAATTTTTTGGTCCTTGCTTTGTATAACCATTTCATTCCTTCCGGGGAATTTAGTACGTGTTTCATTAATGAACTAAGATATACGACTGCTAGTGAATGGCCGCCAGTGTACGTGATATCACCTCTAACTTTGTCTTCATCTACATCAGGATTTAAGCTGAATTGTTGGTTTCATGGGCCACTAAAAATACACAAAGCAGATAAAGGCAATTAAATTCGGAAATCTTCGGGTAGGCTTGTGTCAATAAACAACTAGCAAGGTCTGCCGTACTCACATACTGTATCATTCAATCCTCATTCATACGTAAAACAATAGCCGTTGCCAATGTGTTCATTTAGTGGTCTCGGGTAAACGTGTTTTGCGCTGTATATTTTTGTCAAGTATTTTTATTACGTGTTAGTTCACGAAGTCAATACGCGACTAATCTCGCCTTACTTTTCAATATACTAGTAGTGTGATTTACAGATTTGTAACGAATCAAATGTGTGACACGATCATGAGTTCTTCAAGTTTCCAGAATTTAAGAAAAATTTCCTCTTTTCATCATAAAATAGTACTAATTATATTCTGCACTTTCCTTCAAAAGATTGCGACAAACATAGCCACATTTTTAGGAAGAAACTGAAAATTGACCCAAATTTCGTCTGTTGGCTCCAAAGTTAGGGTTCATTTCCAGAAATATTAAAGAGTATGAGAAAAAAGTGTAGAAAAAATTATGTGAGAAAGTATCAAGGCTTCCAATGATAAGGAGGCATATCCAAATAAATTAGAAGACATTATGTACAATATTTCAAATCTCATACGACTGTTACTCTGTGTATGCGTCATGTCATGATACTAGGCGTCCCAAACTACCAGTTAATGAAAACTCTGCCTAATATATTCCATGACACATAATCATGTTGAAATATCGCCCACCAGTAATTGTGGACATTTTCCTCATTTTAAGACACACATTGGAAGTTTCAAATTCAGGATCAGTTAGATACATTTCAATCAATATTTTAAGTAAAATCCAATAATTTAGTGTTCTATTTTATTTTAAGCACGTTTTTGTCGTTATAAATCGATAGCCATTCCAATTTTAGAATATGGCCTACCAATACGATTCAGTAAGAAAAAGAGCTGGGGCGAGTCTAGCGTATCATACCCATACAGCGCACGATTGCTGTGTTTTACTTCGTTAATCAAGCTCCCCTTGACAGTAAATTTGTTTGTATTCGATTACCGGTTTTTGGCACACCAAGAGGTACTTATCAAGACCACTAACATACATAGACAGAAACTAATAGCAACATCTTCAACTGAGGATTTGGTTTGAGTTTCATCACCGCCCCAGACATCGAAGAAATCACCGGCTGTAATTAGAGCAAGCTGTGCCCAGGTAAAACCTCATCTTTGTGATTTTCATTAGAAGAACGCATTGGATTATGGGAAAATCAATGTTTATCAACACAAATGTCGCACATGCGCGACGCGACGACTACCGCCCTTTAACATTACTCTCTTTTATTTATTTTATTTTTGATTATTTGAAGGAGGAAACTGCCACAGTAATTCACAGTAATTCAAAATCGATGTTGGTTTTCAGAGGTGTTACCTGATGTAGAAAAATGACATTACGATGTTTTCGAGTTTCTCGCTTTACGTCTTGTACTAGCCGAGCCACGCCTTGATAATTTATCAATATACATATCATATGGTAGTGATGTATGGGGAGATGAAATTGCACTAAAATCACCAATTGAAGATGTACATATAAATTATCTTCGTTTTCTCTTGGGGACATCCAAAACACCACAACAATGGGCTTATACGGCGAACTTGGACGTTACCCATTGGAGACCTTTATCGGAAAACAAATGATAAAATATTTCAATTGTGTGCAGAACTCGTCAAATCCATAATTAAAACAAGCTTTCCAAGAAAACATCAACCAGTGTAACCTAGTCGACAACAATGAAATTCTAACAGCAAGGCAATTATGACAAATTAATAAAAATATACAAACATCATTTATATCAATTTGGAAAATGAATTACAAAACGACAATCGATCAAAACAAAAGGAACAAAATATATTAAGAACATACAGATAAAAGCCAATGTTGCTTTAAAAACCTACCTTGTTACCCTGCAAAATATTGAGATGCGCGAAAATTTAACAAAATTCGGCCTCAGTGACCATAATTTAGACTGCAGTCACAAAATAGATTAGTATAGATTGCTAATAGATTATGCAACCTTTGTGATCAGAATCAAGTAGAAGATGAGTATCACCTAATGACGCCATACAAAAGTTATACCCCGATAGCAAATGGCAAAAAACAAAATTCAAAATTTGTCACCAAAGACACAACTCATAGCATTGCTAAACAACAGTGGTCTAACACTCCCTGTAGCAAGGTACCTAAAGAAGTATTTTGAAATAAGACAGCAACCCCAGTGACGATTTTCGTTCACAGTTAAGTTTTGCATTTTTTCTATCTTTTTATAGTATAATAATTTATTCTTAATATTTTTTTTTCAATATTGTAATGTATTAGCTTAGTTTTTTGTATTTTATTTTATTTATTTTTTGTTTGTTTAATCATTCTTTCTTAAGCATTTGTAACCAATGCCAATCCCTCTGGGGACTGTGTAAGTGTTAATAAATTATTATTATTTACTTAATGACCCCGCACATTCGTGATTGGTTTTTAGAGTGGTGACTCGCTAGAAGTATTCGCCGTGCCTTTTTATTCGGGTTTATACAACACTTACATGTTACTGTTAGGAAAGTTTAATGTCTTGTTTGTATTTGTACAATGTGAAAGAGGGGTTTATTGTCAAAATATATACGGGTGTTTGTATGCGTATTGAAACTATACAAAATTCGACTTATACCACAAACTGTACGTTTTGACGACTCGTATGCGATTGTAAGATTCTATTTCAGGTATACATGTACTCGAAGCTAATCTCATCACTGTGCTTTTTATAAATGTTATGGTTCGGTTAATAATTTTCTGGAAACCGTGCAGCAAATCACAGAGTTTCATTATTTAATTGTTCATAGTTTTTCTAAATTTCAGTTTTTATTGTTCATAATTATTTACAGTGATAAAACGGGTTTCCCATCGGAAACCATTTCCAGTTATTATGAATGTGTACATGGCAGCTTCCCCCCCCCACACAATAAAGACAGGATGATATGTACGGATATGTGTGAGTATGTTTTGTAGGTTAATAGGCCACTCATTTGCTTCAATTCCAACTACATCTCTGGAAATATCACTTGCTGTTTATCATCCATATTTCGATATCCCACAATGTCTGGTAATTCTAACTAACTACTATTTCGCAAAATTTGCGCAGCTTTGCTTCTACTCCCACATTGTCCTTAACAGTGAAGTTTAATGCAGATATATTGTAAATTACAATGAGGTAACACTACAATACATTTCCCTTTACATTCTATGTTCTGAGGCAGTTATGGCTCACAACCATCACCAGTTCTCTTGTCGTCTATTTAAATTTATTCCTCATTCCTGCAATGGCGTTGTACAGATGAAGGCATGACAAATCTGATTATATCAACTATTACAATTAAATGTTAAAACATAAAACCTACTTTTTCTGCGAAGAAAAAAAACAAAAAAAACAAAACAACAACAGTAAAACTCACTTATCAAACTTGTTTAAACAACTTTTAAAAAGTTCTCAAGTAAATTGAGATTTACGTAAACAGATCAGCTATGCTGACCACCACTGATGGTGTCTGGTGAAGGTCAATTCCCCGGATGTTGTGATCAGATATAAGATTTCTAACGGAGCGCGGATCGAGGTCATTACTCAGTCGCCATGTTCACGTTTTTGACCTCTTCCTAAATTTCCATCGTCGGTGCTGTTTGTCCACTGAACCATCTGGGAATACTTCAAGAGTGAAGTGTGTTTGTGAGCATTCTGGCGTACATTGGTTTTATTGTACTGCGAACAATGCACGGAACTTATCACGACCTCTATTTCTGTCCGAGAGTGCTTTTGTTTACTATTACACTTCTACTGGTACCAACACTAAGTTTTGCTACGTATGGTATTTCCGCGAGTATACAGCGAGATGTTCTACCGAGGTAAGTCTTACACTGACGGAGAGGAGAACAAGGGTCGTCACGATTAGTCCCTCACCAGGGCACTGTGCCTCCGGAGGGAAATAGAAACAGACACTTTATGAGGACTCATCTGATGGTTTGTCAGTTTGGTGAGTTGCGACTTGTGTGGTTCCTCTGAATACGACATCTTCGTTAATTTATTTGGACCCTTTTATGTACAATATAAACCAGGCTACCCAAATTAGGTGAAAAGGCAAAGTAAATAATACCAGAAAGCTACCATAAAGGGGGCACCCTTCTGAAAGCGAAGGGGGTGGTGAGGGAAATTCTGTTTTCTCTCCATCCTTATGATTTGAATTCACATATTCTATCAATATTTTATTTTATACAGACATTTTTTTTGTTTATTTTTTCCAACACATTCCTGTTTTTAAATACAGAATTCCTTATTACCAATAATAATAATAATATAAGGTTATTACGAGGATACCTCAAACTTTATATATTATACATCTTTTCCTTTCAAGGATACAACATGGGAATGCCAAAACCCAAAATGTTTAGAACAGAATCAGTGAACTTGTTTGTGTGGAGTCCTGTCAAACCCTTGTGGCAGCCATGTTTGTTTTTAATTTTAGAGGATGCTTATGCGCGTAATCATTCCATATTTGGAATTCGCATTTCCTAATATGGTAGGATGAAAATACCCTGTAAAATACAGCAAAATTATGGCACGCTGTAACTTATGGCGTTATGGTGACAGATGTATAATAATACAATAATAACAATACCAGTATAATTTGTTAACACACTCGTAAAAAATAAAAATGAGTACATTCCAAATTGTTTAGGACTATATAATAAGAAAGTTAGTTATTATTAATAAGTTTGCAATATTTGCATGATTTCATGTTTTTATTTTAACATATTTCTATTTTCACCATGGGTTTAATTTTAATATTTTGGATCAGAAGACTCAACCAAGAAAGCAGGTGACCAATATTTCGAAAATAGGCTGCTAACGACTAATTAATTTCTAAGGAAACCCCAGTTTCACTAAGCTAATTTGCATTGATAATTATACGATCACTTTGAAATAATCAACTTTTTACTAAATTAAAGTTTTGTAATCTTCTTTTATTTTATATTGTGGGACAAATTTTGATGAATTTTGTGAAATCCCTAATTGTAACATATAAAAAACTATAAAAAAACTATAAAAAACAGTACAACATTGTACTGAGGTCACTAGTCTTAAAGACGCAGACAAAGCGACGCTGGTTTTGGCAGAATTCTATTCTCATGGATGACATTGAATCATCATACAATAAATTGACCAGAATTTTTTTTCCAGGCCTAATATAAAATGTCACACAAAGAATACAATGAAGGTGACATACATCACATGTCTTGAACTTAGAATTTAGAGAAACGATTTTTAATATATCCTTAGCATATAGGAATAATATAAGGAATATTAAAGGGCACCAAAACAATCCCATTGGGCATCTAGACTTTGTGAAGTCCAAGCCTTTACCTAGTGTATGTCAATATATGCTAATTATTTACTGAACAGTGGACTTTTTCTGGGCTGAACACTGAAAAAATGATATCAGTTTTAGTTTTGAGTTGTGTACCCTTCAGTAATGCTAACATTTGTTTTCCAAAAATATAAGTTTTAATATTAAAATTATTTGTTTTACAGAGGTCCACATGTATGTGGTTCAAGTCATTCTTCACCATGTTGTCCGGGATGGAGTCAAAGACCATCTAGTGGGATGTGTTTAACTCGTAAGTCGTATTATAAAAGGGCAGTATCATCAGCTCTGTTCATACATGTATGCATATTGTAGTGTTATTATTGTTCTATTGGTTTCTGGCTTGTCTTGATGTTAACTTTGCACATGACATGGTACATTGTATTGCAATATTCAATGCAATATACTGTAGAATACTTTATTTTCGCTTGGAATTTATTTTCGCTGAAGGGATGCTTTAGTGAAAATAAAATCCAATGAATATACTTTTTTTTCTTATATTTCACATTCAACTTGTCAAAAATAAGTGGAAATAAATTCCAAACAAAACACCCAAAAAGCCTTTTCACCGAAAATTAATTCCAGCTAAAATAAAGTATTCTACATTAGTTGTGAAGTAATAAACCTGTCATGACTTGTACGTCATCATCACCAAAAACTTTTAAAAATTTGTTAATACATCTCCTACTGACGTTGTTTTTTCGTATTTATTTCGGCTTTCCATAGTGGCTTTCAGCACGTGATGTGTAAGCGGTATGATCCTTCAAAATTTCATAAATCTGTAATTTTTTTTTTACTAATGTGTGTGTGTTCATGAAGACCACAATAATACTGTCTGTGTATATGTATTTATGAACAAATTATAGCATTTCAATAAAACTTGGTAAATAGGTACCTGACAATATTGATCTGATTAGTTTTGGATTTAAATCTGTGCATCCTAATTTGCATAATTTGCTAATTTTCATCTTTCTATCGATATCTGGAAAACCAATCATCACATTTCAATAAAACAGGCCAGTGTTTGTTTGAATTTTGTGTATATCGATTGTCTAATTTGCATAAATTGGCCTATATTTAGTATTCCCACAGATATGTTAATAATTACTCATGTTTGTTTCCAGCGATATGTAGAGGTAACTGCGGAGATGGTGGTATCTGTAGTAGTCCTAATATGTGTACACAATGTATCCATGACGACGGTGGTAGGAAATGTACATCAGTGACTGCTTCTTCATCACAGAATGTGCCAGGTTTATCTTCTAGTTGGACAGGTATGTGAATGATCAGTTGATGGAACTACATATGTAGCCGGCGATGACTTGGAAGCGAGCAGTTTATTGATTTACTGGAAAAAGAAATGATAATAACTGTTGAAGCAACTGTGGATTTAAGAGTTTTTATTAATGGATGAGTTAAACAGAATTCACATTGGATATTTTACCTTTAACTGTTGGCCATTTTTGTTTCAAAATATACCAAAAATCAACATTTGAACAACAAGTTATCAACTATTTCATTCTAACTTGACAGTTATGATAGGTTTTTGATGAATTTTCTTTCAAAATTGCTGACAGGTTTTCTACCTATTTTCACATACACTCTGATCAATTTTGTTCAACATTTTACAAAGACCAGACATAATGATATACATATGTACATCAATTTGATTTTCATTTCATCAACCTTTGACCGACTGGTGGTCATTTTTGTCCTGATAAACTAAACTGGATCACAGTCTTGCACGTCAACAAGCATTTCCCAGGCAGGCCTTGTCTTCATTCAACTTGGTATTGCTATTGCTTATCAAAGATTCCTAATACATGTCATTTTGTTTTGTTTTTTAGCTCCACTGTCGACTTTGTCGAGCGGAGCTTATCATATGAGTGATTGTCCGTCGTCGTCCGCGT